ACTGAGCAGCAACCTGACTGTGAATCTTAGTTTCCCCAAATATAAAATGTAAAAAGCCACCATCACGGGACAGTGGAGAAAGAAACGATGCCCTATGCCAAAAGCAAAGTCCAATGATGACTGATGATGAGACGATGAACCACCTGCATATTCCTCCTGCTGAACAAGTATGTCTGCTGTTGTCTACGATTCCAGAATGCATGCCTCCATCCCCACTTCTCTCCTGAGCTTCAGACCCATCTTTCTTTCTGCCTACTCAGTAGTTCTCATGGACTCCATTGTCTACCCACAAAACCTGCCTCTCGTTCCATGTTCAGTCTCCACCAGGGCCCCAGGCCAGCTGGAAGATCGCATTCAGCATCACTTGCAGCTCCTCACAGCCACCAAGGCCCAGAAATTCCTCCTTCCCCTTTTATCTTCCAACAGCCTCGCTAAAGAAGAAATGCTGCTGAAACTAACAGTACCAGACAAGCTTGAGGTCAGCCAGGCCCCAGGATGCCACGTACCTGACTGCTTCCCAACTGAGTTCTTTGGGGAAAGGCAGCAGAGCCCAAACCCTGATACTCTCCTCACAGCTCAGCACCTGGGATGAAATGTTTTATTGACTTTGTAGATTTCACGGTAACTTCCTAGAAAATCTGTTTTTAGATTATTATGGATGTTACATCACTCTCTAGAAAATACGTATCTATAAAATTATTACAAATTCTAAACATTTTAAAACCAGAGGGCGGGTGTCAGTTCTTCACTACAGATGGGGGAAGGCTGGGGAAACCACCAGGGGATTGGTAGGGAGTGAACGTCTGGGGTGGCTATGACCATATTCACAGGTTCTTTCGACACCTGCCATTGAGAGGGAGGACCCCACCAAATCTGCACGAGCTCTGGTGACTGGCCTGGAACCAGCAGAACACAGCAGGTATGAAGATGCTGCACGTTATGCAAAGCCATGTCAGAGGCGCAGGTGTCTCTCCAGTTCAGGCCGCGCTCGGGGTGCAGCCGCTGTCACCTTGAGACTGTCCCTGCAGGACCCCCATGAGGCCTCTGGCCAACTTCCAGTCTTCTCAGACGCAACATCCACGAAGCCCTGGGGGACCACAGCCGTCCACACCCAGGCCAGGCCACACGACAGATCCCTCAGCAGATGCTCCCCATTTCTAACCCACTAGCACATGAGCAAGTCAAACGTGGCTGCTGACACCATGGAGCGTGAGTGGTCTCAACAGCAGGAATAACCGAAGCTCAGTATGCAAAGCTGCCTGAATACCTGTGAGACGCCAGGAGGGGGACAGGAAGTGGTAAGGACCCAAATAGCCACCGTGGGGCACGGGAGAGGATGGTCTGGAGCCTCAGCAGCTCTGGTTGGAAGACAAAGGCTGCCTTCTTGAAGCTCCTCTTCCTTCCTAAATCTTCCCTCCTCCCCCTTCCTAAGGGCTTGCACTTGGAAAGCATGGCAATCCCCACTGGTAAAGCTGGTCTGCGGCGCCAATGGGGAATGGCATCCGACCAGTGCAGCCCGATGCTCTGCCTCCAATCCACACCTCCAGGAGGCTGTTTTCCCAACTTCACTGCTGACAACCCCCTTCTGACAGTATTTTCCTGAAGGCATTCTCAAGGAGGCCTCCGACTTCTCAAGGCACCATTTCCTTAAAGCGCCTTTGCAAATCTCTCCTGACCCGCTGTGTGTTGATTTTACAGCTTCCTTTTAGAGGTAGTCTCATTTATGCATTTTCACCTGCACAGCTGTCACGATGCTTATATTCTTGGGGACTGTCTCTTTCATCCCCTTGCACTACCCTTGTATCCTCCTGTATGTAGAATAAAACACCTTCGCTGATTGCCAAATTGGAACTTCCTGGCAGAAATGCTTAAAAAATTGTTTGTTTCAGTAAGTTAACAAAAGCTAGTCCGTGTAGGAGAAGAAAAACTGACATTACTCACCACTGACAAATAAAAACTGCTCCCAGCTCTGTGTTACTGCCTACAGCAATAAAAGCCTGCCAGGGGATTCAGCAAAAACACTTCCCGGTGCTCATCCATTTAACGCTAAAAACCTCAGTGCCATCAGCACTGCATTACTTTCAACTGCGAGACACGGAACTTGAGGCTCAGAAGACTGAGCAACCAGGCCAGGGCCACAGCAAGCACCACGCTGGCTAGAAAGCTGGATCTGCCCAACTCAAAGTCTGACTCAGCAGGCAAACTGCACCCTTCCAGCATCTCTGCAAAAGACAGGTGGTTTCAGAGACGTACACAGCCCTCCCAGCACCCTGCATTCGGCATACCTGTTTTTTAGGCTGAAAAACCGGATGGCAGCGAGAACTACAGTATTCTTCAAGACTAATCAACAATTCTACTGCTGCTTTTTCCTAGTTTAGAGAAAACAGTGGCTACTATCGTGTTTGGGTAGACTTAGTTTTCTTCTATTGAACTGTAGGCCAATTAGAGTCCCCATTTCTCATTATCTTTCTTCAAACAATTTTTTGCAGCTAGAAAAGTAAACGCTTCACTAAAATAGGTTTCACATGGCAAGGAAATCACAGCCAATAAAATGATTTTAAATGGAGGCCATTAACAATAATAGATCACAAATGCCACACCCACCCTCTGTGCACAAAACTGGAGATGAATAAGAAAAAAAGGATTCCAAACAATTGGAAATTTAACTAGGAAATAGTTACTTAAACACTAAAAAGCAATACAACTAAAAAACAATACAACTAAAAAAAAATCACATAATCATTTAATTGCTAAGCACATACATATTTTTACAAGTATAAAATTACGTCATTTGAAGCTGATATAACCACATAACTTAAAAATCCAAGTCAGTCAACTGAAACCTATGAGAAACAAAGTCAGTGAATTGATAGTTGACAAATTAAAAAATCTGTAACTACCTACAATTCTTTTTTCTTTTCTTTTTTCTTTTTCTTTTCTTTTTTTTTTTTTTTTTGAGACACAGTCTTACTCTTTTTGCCCAGGCTGGAGTGCACTGGTGCGATCTCAGCTCACTGCAACCTCTGCCTCCCAGGTTCAAGTGATTCTCCAGCTTCAAGCTGCTGAGTAGCTGGGATTACAGGCACCCACCACCACGTCTGGGTAATTTTTTTGTATTTTTATTAGAGACGGGGTTTCACCACGTTTGGCCACACTGGTCTTGAACTCCTGACCTCAGGTGAACCACCTGCCTCGGCCTCCCAAAGTGCTGGGATTACAGGTGTTAGCCACTGCACCCGGCCTGCTACCTACAATTCTTAAAAGCACAAAACAAACAACTCAAGTAGCTAGATGTTAACTATGGAAGAAATGTGCTGGCCTTCCCTTCACTCAGATGTGTGAGAGCCTGGAGTGCACTAGGGAGTGTGCTGGGCAGAACACGGGAGGCACAGACATGTGCCTGCACGGGTGATGTCCCCACAGGGCAGACCCACAAGCAGCATATGTGTGCCACTGCAGAGCAGCGTATGTATCCCACTGCAGAGCGGCATATGTGTGCCACTGCAGAGCAGTATATATATCCCACTACAGAGCGGCATATGTGTGCCACTGCAGAGCAGTGTATGTATCCCACTGCAGAGCAGCATATGTGTGCCACTGCAGAGCAGCGTATGTATCCCACTGCAGAGCGGCATATGTGTGCCACTGCAGAGCAGTATATGTATCCCACTACAGAGCGGCATATGTGTGCCACTGCAGAGCAGCGTATGTATCCCACTACAGAGTGGTGTATGTGTGCCACTGCAGAGCAGCCTACATATCCCACTGCAGAGCAGTGTATGTGTGCCACTGCAGAGCAGCGTATATATCCCACTGCAGAGTGGCGTATGTGTGCCACTGCAGAGCACCTAGCTTCTGTTCCAAGACATGAACCCATCTGAGGGCTTCTGAGGAGAGGATGACATGTTGGGGAAGGATCAGTCTGGCTGCTGTGTTATGACAAGGGGAAGGGCTCGCAGAAGTCGGTGGGCAGACCAGTCAGTACCAGCAACATTCCAAGGAGGGACCAAGGCGGTATGGCCAGGTGGTGGCACAGGAGGGACAGAAAGAAGCAGATGTGGAACATATTTCTTTTTTTTTCTTTTTCTTTTTTTGAGACGGAGTCTTGCTCTGTCATTCAGGCTGGAAAGCAGTGGCACAATCTCGGTTCACTATAACATCTGCCTTATGTGTTCAAGCTATTCTCAGGACTACAGGCACCCACCACCATGCCCAGCAAGTTTTTGTATTTTTAGTAGAGACAGGGTTTCACCATGTTGGCCAGGCTGGTCTCGAACTTCTGACCTCAGGTGATCCACCTGCCTTGACCTCCCAAAGTGCTGGGATTACAGTCATGAGCCACCGTGCCTGGACTGTGGAACATATTTCTAAAACCTGTTCCAAGGACGGAGTATGAAGAGAGGAGAGGAATCTGAGGCTTCCAACTTGAGCAGCCACCTGGGAGGCTGGAGGTGCCACGTAGATGGAAGGACTTGAGGAATGAAGATGCAGAGACACTGTGTCCCTGAATAAGCTTCAATATTGTGAAAAATGTCAATTATCCCTAATTCAATCCATGAGGTGTTCTTATTTGTTTTTGGGGTTTTATGTTTGTCCAAGTTTACACAGAATAATAACTATTAATTTTTTTTTAAAGTAAAGCTAGACTCTGTACCTTACTCTTAAGATGAAATAAATTCCAGTTGGATCCAAAGACGTAAATGGAAAATAAAGAAAAAATAGGTAGGGCACGTTGGCTCATGCCTGTAATCCCAGCACTTTGGGAGGCTGAGGCGGGTGGAACATAAAGTCAGGAGTTCAAGACCAGTCTGACCAACATGATGATACCCCGCCTCTATTAAAAATACAAAAAAACTAGCCGGGCGTGGTGGCAGGCACCTGTAATCCCAGCTACTCGGGAGGCTGAGGCAGAGAACTGCTTGAACCCAGGAGGCAGAGGTTGCAGTGAGCTGAGATTGTGCTACTGCACTCCAGCCTGGGTGACAGAGTGAGACTTTGTCTCAAAAAAAAAAAAAGAAAATAGAAGTACCAGGGAAAATGTACACCTATATTTTTAATTTTGAAAAGCAAAGATTCTTTTCAGAATGACTCCAAATGTGAATCCAGAGAAAAAAAATATCAAAACCTATGAACAAATAACAAAGCAATATATACACAAATAAGGCTAATGAACCAGTGGGAAAAATGAAACTGAAATAAATGGAGAAAATACATTAATAGGCAATTAATGAAATAATTATAAACATCTAGTAAACATAAAAAAAGAATGAAAATAAAAACATAATCTTGGCTGGATATGATGGCTCGCGCCTGTGGTCCCAGCTACTCAGGAGGCTGAGGCAAGAGGACGGCTTGAGCCCAGGAGGTCGAGGCTATCATAAGCCATGACTGCAGCACTGCACTCTAGCCTGGGCGACAGAGCGAGACCCTGTCTCATAAAAAATAAATAAATAAATAAAAGAAAAGAATTTTAAAAACCTTATTGATATCTTTTGTCTTAGAACTTTACTTTTTAAGAGTATTTACATAAGTGCCCAAATGAACAAAGATGTTCATTTCAGCATAATAATTAGGAATTTTCCACATCAGGAACATTACAACTCATCCATCAATGAAGGACTGCTTAGGTAAATAATAACATATTGATAAAATGGAATATCAAACAGCTGACAAAAAGAATAATACAGAACAAAGATGCCAAAAACACACTGTTAATGAAAAATGCTAGCTATAAAACACAACGTATCTTCCTACGAACTCACTTTGGTACACTAATAGCAAAAATGTGGTAGCAACACTACCTAATTATTAACAGTAGTTATTTCTGGGAGATGGAATTCTTGAGGGCTGTTACTTTTCACATTAGTTTTTCTATTTCTAGTAATTTTTCTTTGAACATTTAAACATTTTTAAAATAACTGTCAAATGTATAATTTGAAAAAAAGATTAAAATTTCAATAACAAATATTCTAACCTAAATTATTTACTTTGAAATAATAAAAGAATTAGTTTATTGATGATGCAAATATCCTACCCCATCGATGCAGCAAACATCTGTAAAAATTTCCTAATATTTGGTTAATCCTGTTTTATAATTTGCTCTTTGATTTTCAATACTTAGCTGCTGTTACATACAGCATATGTGTTTTTAAGAAACAAGTTAAATCATTTTAGCTAAGATTAATATTGATTGATCTGTGATAGAGAATATAAACTTATGTGTAATCCAGTCACTTTTTTTTCTGATGGAGGATACTGTAACTCAGATATACTAAAAGATGATTAATAGTTAATTACATTTGAAAAATAAACTATATCCTTTCATAGCTGAATGAGTTAATCTAATTAATGATTTTCTTCCCTGTAAATTACCTTAAAAACTGATGGTAGACCTTCATCAACAGATCTGAGTAACAGTACAACAGAAAATGCAAGCAACTAATTAGTTGTTTCTTTTGAAAATTCATGTAAGTTGATCTCCCCGTGGCTTAAATGATCTCTTATGCGGGGACCCTCCTGATGGTTCAGGAAATCCCAGAGAAATTCCTTTCAGAAATTAAACAGAGAAAATGTTTTTTTAGTATCCACAGCAGAGATCCGTGCCTGGTGTTGCTAACAGAAGGAAAGAGTGCATCCATCAAGTCCTCTGAAGCCCTGGGTGGGACCCTGCTGCGGAGAGCTGTTCTCCTACACCCACAGCTGGAGAGACTGTGGGGGAAGGCAGAGCTGCCCAGGTGGTACTGGAGTCTCATCAAATTCCAGTCTTTCTTGTTTTCACAAGGGGTGCCTCACAATATCGCAGTTGGTTGTACACCCCCTGCAGTACAAAGAATAATATTCTCTTCTCTTCCTTTAGCTCTTGAGAACAATATCACATGGCGGGGAACACGCCGTGCACTATTGGAAGTAATATCATTCTCTCTTATTCTGGATAGTAGGAACAATATCTCAGGCGGGATGGACAAGCCCTGTGATATTGAGAGTAATATCATCCTCTCCCAACGAAGATATTAGGAACCATATCACAGGGGGCGTGTACACTTCTTCAATATTGGTAGCGATATCATCCTCTCCTCCCTGGGTATAAGAAACAAGGTGACAGGCAAGGTGGAGACCCCCCACGTCTTGGGGAGTAATTTCCCTCCCTGGATATTAGGATCCACGGTGGACACACAGCATGTTTACGATTCTGAGAGTAATATCATCTCCCCCTCTAGACATTACGAACAGTATCAAAGACGGGTGTACACCCTCTGCAATATAGGGAGGAATATCATCCTCTTCTCGCCTGGATATTAGGAACAATATCAAAGGAGTGTTTATGACCCCTGCGATATTGGGAGTAATATCATCCTCTCCCAGGTGGAAATTAGGAACAGCATCACCGGGGGCGTGTACACCCCTGCGATATTGAAAGTCGTATCATCCTCTCCCCTCTTGGATCATGGGAACAACATCCCTGGGGGGTGTACACTTTCTGCGATATTGGGAGTAACATCATCTTCTGTGCCTTGGAATATTCAGGATAATATCACAGGGGGAGGGGGTGTGTACATCTTCTGCAACATTGGGAATATTATCCTCTCTACCCCTGCAAATTCGGAAAGATATCACAGAGTGGGTGTTCACCTCCTGCAATATGGGGATTAATACTGTCTTCTCCCCTTCGGGATATCAGGAAGACTATCACACAGGGGTGTACAGTGTCTGCGATACTGGGAGTAATATCAGCCTCTCGGCCTTGAGATATTGAGAAGAATGTCACAGGGTGGATGTACATCCCCTGCCATATTTGGAGTAATATCAACCGCTCCCCTCCATGGATATTTGGAACAATATCCCAGACTGGGTGTATGCCTCCTGCTCGACGGGGACTAATATCATCCTCTCCCTCCCAGGATATTAATTACAATATCACTGGGTGGGTGAACACAGCCTGCGAATTATTTTCATCCTCTCCCCCACCGGATACTAGGAACAATATCGCAGAAGAGCTGTACCCTCCCTGTGATATTGGGAGTAATATAATACACACTTTCCATGAATATTAGGAGCAGTATCACCGGGTGGCTGTCCATTCATTGCTATGTTTGGAGTCATGTCATACTCTACCCCTGTTTATATTAGGATCAGTGTCACGCGGTGAGTGTACACCTACTGCGATATTAAAACTAAAATCATGCTCTCCGTCCCTGGATATTGGGAACAGCATCACAGGTAGGTGTACACCCCCTGCGGTATTAGGAGTAATAATATAATTAATTATTAAACATCAATGATCGATTTTAATAATTATCAATGATACTATTAATAGGAATCCATTTATTAATTATGGATAATTATTTTAAATATATGATTCTGCATACTTAAAATTAATTATTAACATTAATCACGTTTAACAATATTATTAGTTCTTAATATTAATTATTATTTTATTACCAGCATCACTTAGTATTGATTTAAGTAACATTATTGCTGATATCATTATTTTATTTTTAACAGTGATATTACTATTAATTATTAATACTAATCTTTAACATTTTTAACCAGTATTAATTTTTACTATCTTTATTGTGATTATTAACATCGATGATTACTCTTAATTTTTCTTATATTTATTAATATTAATAATTAATAGACTTGTTCCTGATATCCGGCGGGGAGAGGATATTACTCCCAATATCGAAGAAAGTGTACACCCCTCTATGATGTTATTCCTAATAGCCAGGGGGTAGAGGATGACATTATTGAAACTATCGTAGTGGGTGTACAACCCTTCGGTCATCTCGTTCCTTATATCCTGGGTGGGAGAGGATGATACGACTCCCAATATCGCAGGGGGCATAGACCTCCCCTGTGATATTGTCCCTAACATCCAAAGGTGGAAAGGATGACATTTCTTCCGATTTCGCAGGGGGTGTACACTACCCCTGTGATATGGTTCCTAATATCCAGGAGGCGAGAGGATGATATTATTTTCAATATTGCAGGAGGTGTACACTCCCTAGTGATATTGTTCTTAATATCCAGGGACGGAGAGGACTATATCACTCCCAATAGAGCAGGGGTTGTACACCCCTTCTGTGACATTGTTCCTAATAGCCAGCGGGGGAAAGGAAGATATTACCCCCAATATCACAAGGGGGTGTATACCTAATATCCTGGAAGGGAGACGATGATACTAGTGGCAATATCGCAGGGGGTGTACACACCCACTGTGATATTGTTCCGAATATCCAGAGAAAGAGAAAATGATATGACTCCCAATATCACAGGAGGTGTACATCCTCCTGTGATATTGTTTCTTATATTCAGGGGGAGAGGATGATATTACTCTCAATATCACAGGGGTTGTACACACCTCCTGCGGTATTGTTCTTAGTATCCCGAAGGGGAGAGCATAATATTACTCTCAATATGGCAGGGGGTGTACACCTCCTTTGTAATATTGTTCTGAATATCCATGATGGGAGAGGATAGGACTCCCAATATCACAAGAAGTGTACAGCCGAGGCCGGGCGCGGTGGCTCAAGCCTATAATCCCAGCACTTTGGGAGGCCGAGATGGGCGGATCACGAGGTCAGGAGATCGAGACCATCCTGGCTAACACGGTGAAACCGCGTCTCTACTAAAAAATGCAAAAAACTAGCTGGGCGAGGTGGTGGGCGCCTGTAGTCCCGGCTACTTGGGAGGCTGAGGCAGGAGAATGGCTTAAACCCGGGAGGTGGAGCTTACAGTGAGCTGAGATCCGGCCACTGCACTCCAGCCTGGGCGACAGAGCTAGACTCCGTCTCAAAAAAAAAAAAAAAGTGTACAGCTGAGGATGATATTACTGCCCATATCACACGAGTTGTAAAACCACTTCAATATTTTGCCTACAATCCTGAGGGGAGAGGATGATATTACTCCCAATATCAAAGAAGGCGTACACCCCCCTGTGACACTATGCCCAATATCCACGTTGGAAGATGAAGACATTACACCCAATATCGCAGGGGATGTACACCCACCTTGGGATATTGTTCCTTATATTGAGAGGGGGAGAAGATGCTATTGCTCCCAATAACACGGGGCTGTGGCAGTACACCCTTCCTGTGATATTGTTCTTAATATCCTAGGGAAGAGAGGAGGATACTACACCCAATATCGCAGGGTGTACACCTACCCAGTGATAATGTTCTTAATGTACTCCACCTCCCACCACCAGGGATATCAGTCCTAATATCCAGGGGAAGAGAGGATAACATTATGCCCAATATCGCAGGGGAGTGTACACACCCTCTGTGATGTTGTTCCTAGTATCCAAAGGTAGAGACGATAATATTACTGGCCATATCGCAGGGGGTGTACACCCTTCTGTGATACTGTTTTTGACATTCAGTAGGGGAGAGGACAACATTAATCCCAATATCGCAGAAGGTGTACAGACCCACTGTAGACCCTAATGTACAGGGGAAAGAGAAGACTATTGCTCTCAATATCACAGGGGCTGTAACCACCCTGCCCCCTGTATATTGTTCCTAATATGCAGAGGGGTGGAGGCTCATAGTACTCCCAATATACGAGAAGGTGCACACACACCTGTGATAGAGTTCCTAATATCCAGCGGGAAAGAGGCTGATTTTACTTTCGATATTGCAGTGGGTGTACAGCGCCCCCAAACCCGGGGTATCATTCCTAATATCCAGGCGGGAAGAAGATGACATGGCTGACAATATCGAAGTGGGTGGACACTTCTTCAGTGATATGGTTCCTCTTATCCAGGAGGTGAGTGGATATTATTCCCAATAAAGTAGGAACCGTTCAGTCACCCTGGGATTTTGTCCTTAATAACCAAAAGGGAGAGGTGATATTACTACCAATATTGCAAGGGGTGTACACCCCTCCTGTGATATTGTTTCTTATATCCAGGAAAGGAGAAGATGGTATTAGTACCAATATTGAAGGGATGGACAGCCCCCATGGGATATTGTTCTAAAGATGCAGGTTGAAAGAGGATGAGATTCCCTCCAATACAACAAGGGGTGTACACCCTGCCTGTGATATGAATCCGAAAACCTAGAAGAAGAGAGAATGACGTTGCTTCCAAAAACACACTGGGTGTACACCCATCCTGTGATATTGTTCCTGTCATCTAAAGGAAGAGATGATGAAACTACTACCCCTACTGGAGAAGGTACACACCCCCCCGTGATATTGTTCCTCATATCTTGGGGGAAGAGCATGATATTACTTCCAGTATGACACTGGCTTCACACCCAGTCTGTGATATTGCTCCTAATTTCCAGTAGGTAAAGTATGATGTTCCTGCCAAGAGAGTAGTGGGTGTACAGCCACCCTGTGATATGTCTCCGAATATTCAGGGAAAAATAGGAAGACATTACCCCAAATCTCCGAAAAAGTGTACACCCATTGTGTGATATGGTTCCTAATATCGGGAGGTGCAGAGGATGGTAATCTTTCTCCCATCGCAGGCTGTGTACACATAACCTGTGAAATTGTTCCTAATATCGTGAACAAAAGAGACTGCTAATAATGAACACACATTTCAGGGGGGAATAATTATTAAGATCCACATCGTAAAGGGGAGTAATAGCGATCCTCTCTCTCCCCCTCACTGTTACAATCCACATCGCAGGGGGTGAGAAACCCCCCACGATGTTGGGAGTAATAGCATCCCCCTCTCTCCCCCTGGCCTTATATAAGGAGGCTGGCCTTATATAAGTGCCTCCCAATGCCATCGCAGGCTTTAATGTATTCACTTAAAGTTTTTTCCTCATTTAGATCTGCCATTCTCTTAATAGTTCTAATTGCTGCCTGACATTCTGTTTTAGCATTTTCATCAGCAAGCAGCTGAACGATCACTTTCTTGGCATGAGAATTGGAAATAGCCTTTTGAGCCGCATCCTGCAAACGGGCGATAGAATCAGGATAAGGCTCCCTTGGACCCTGTTGAAATGTGTGAAAAGAAGGATAAGCAGTAGCAGGGTCGTGAATTTTTTCCCAGGCTCTTAGGCATGTAGTTCTGAGCTGATCAACAGCCTCATCACCCATTACCATCTATTGATTTAGAGTACCCATGCCTGTCCGATTCCAAGCAATTGATCAGGTGTGATATTAACGGGACGCTGGGCTTGAGCATTTCTGCCCGATTTGTTGCTTCATCCGTCCACCAGGTTTTCAATTGGAGAAATTCAGAGGGGGACAGGGTGGATCGGGCTAATGCCTCCCAATCCATACGTATTCAACGTCTGTTATAAGCCACACATTGTAACAAGGAATGAACATAAGGGGAATTTGGCCCATATTGTCCAATTGCTTGCTTTAAGTCTTTTAATATTTTAAAAGGAAATGGCTCCCAGCATGCTTGAACAAGTTCTCTAGCCTCCTCAGCTGATGAAATAATTACCAGAAACTGCCAAGCATTCAAATCCCCCATTTCTTGTGCCTGGCGAATGGATGCCTGGATTGTCCCTGTGCCATAATTTGTATTTGGACCCGCTGGCAGCACTCCTCTACCATAATTAACAGGTGGGCAAGCCTAGATCATTCCCTCATCCTCACTGGCTGTTGGACAAGCCTGAAGCGTCCCTTCACCATAGTTACTGGCGGGGCCTGCAACAATGGGAGCCGCAAGGCGCGGGTCTCAGGCACCCCTTTCAAATATTCAAGAGGCTGGCCTGGGGGTGGCCATTCCAGACCTTCCCCTAAAGGCGCAGTAGGTGGCACAGTTTCTTTTATAAGTCTCTGGAGATGAACATACATACCTTCCCGTTTCTCGCCCTTTTTTAAAGGAGACTGTCATGGTTCACTTTGCTGATAATTAGACTCCTGATTATTCAACTTTCCTATGTCATCCTGAAAATCCTCCTTCTCCTCCTCAGTGTGGAAGGGCTCCAGGGCTGTTTTAATTGCAGACCACACAGACCAAGCAGAGACGGGAATATCGCGGCCCTCTTGTGCTGGTTTTAAGTCTGATCCCACCTTGTCCCAATCTTCTACATTCATGATACCATATTCCGGGAACCAAGGAGAATACTTGTCTACCAGGTGGAACAAAGATGTGAGATTTTGGGTACTGACAATTACCCCTCCGCGGCGTAGTAACTGCTTTACAAGGCTTAAGTAATTAGCGAACTTACTCTCAGCTCGACCCACATTTTCCGGAGGTTTCCTTGGAATTCCCCGAGCGCCCTCCTTACCCTAGAGCTTGAAGTGAAAACCTACTCGGGAGTCCTTTGTCGGTCGTCCTCAGCTTTCCACGCTCTGGTGTTCCTTCACTGGATTATTTGTAGAGATTACGGGGAGCCCTGTGTTGGGCACCAGAGACAGCCTGGGCAACCGAGGAAGACCCCGGTTTCTGCCAAAAAAAAAAAAAAAAAAAATTAGCAAGGTGTGGTGTCCCTTGCCTGTAATCTCAGCTACTCCATGAGAAGTCAGACGAAACCTGCCACCAGAGACTGATTTTCTTCTAAAATGCTTTCTCCAAAATATTTTTAAAACAAAAGGGGGAAATTGGAAAGGAAAATATTTTGGGCCCCGCAAATCACTAAGATAAAGGGAAAAGTCAATCTGGGAATTGCTTAGGGCAAACCTGCCTCCCATTCTATTCAAAGTCATCCGCTGCTCGCTGAGAAGAATGCATATCTTATTGCCTCCTTTGGAAAGGCTCATCAGAAACTCAGAAGAATGCAACCGTTCCTCTCTCACCTGCCTGTGACCTGGAAGCCCCCTCCTGGCTTCGAGTTGACCCACTTTTGCTTCAGGTTGTACCGGATCAAACCAGTGTTCATCTTACATATGTTGATTGATGTCTCCTGTCTCCCTAAAATGTGTAAAACTGTCAGATACAGTTTTACAACTGTAAAGGTTTGGCATGTTAACGTTCTTGTGTTTTGTTCTCGAACTCAACTTTCTTGTTCTCCATGCCTCCTTGCCCTTAGTTACTGTAAACAACCTTCCCCCCGTCAGTTCTAATCAATAACTCACATCTGTTCCCTTGGTTACCTGCTCTGCACCCATTTCTCCCTTCCAAACCACACGTCCCACCGTTGTAACTCACGACTCCCTTCCCCCTTCCTTATTTGGGAAAGTGTTCACAAATAGCCAACGGGGTCAGTGTAGATCTTGAGGTCTGGCCCCAGCCCATGCCAGAGGTAAGGACTGCATTAGGAATAAAAACCCCTGCTTTTCTTTGTTCCGTGTGCTCTTGCGATTGTGATTGATGCGAGCAGCACGCTTCCACAGAGGTAAATTGCGTTGCTGAGAAAACTTTTGCTTAAGTGCTAGTTTCACTTTTCGTCACCGAGCATTTATCTCCAACAAAACCAAGCTGTGCTCTGACCACCTTAGGCAACTGTCATCAGGACACCCTGAGGCTGTGTCATGCACAAGCATCCCCAACCTTGGCAAAATAAACTTTCTAAATACTCTTTTCCCCAAATGCTCAGGGAGACTGATTTGAATAATCATAAAACTCCGAGGCTGCACTCCAGCCTGGGCGACAGAGCAAGACTCTGTTTCAGAAATAATAAAATGAAATGAAATGAAATAAAATAAAATAAAAATCAAATCTCCGGTCTCCCGCAGAGCCGACTCTGCGTGAGTTACTCCTTCTCTATTGCTATTCCCCCGGTCTTGAGAAATCGGCTCTGTCTAGGTAGCGGGCAAGGTGAACCCACTGGGCAGTTACAGAATTGCCATTATATTGCTTGCAATTTTATATCTTATTACGCAAAATAGCCATAATCTTGTATACAAGGTTAAATGCGAATGTGCTCCTTGCGTGGTCAGATCCCAGCGCAGGAAGGATGCACACCCCCTATAAACCGCTAGGCCAAAACGGTCATTCTGGCCACATCCAGCCTCACGTGAGATCGCAATCTCCTGTCACTCAGGGCCTGAGGGGGCGGGGCCTGAAGCCCCAGACAATCAGGGACGCTGGGGTGGGGACCTGTCAGTCAGGCGCACCGCCGGAAAGGAGAGGGCGGCTTCCGGGATCCGGCTGGCGGGCGCTTTGTCTCGCCTTTGCCACCGTAGGCTCTTCCTGTGAGTCTCCGCTGCTACTTCCTGGCTCTGGGAGGCCCGGTGCCTCTGCAGCAGGCTCGGCCACCCTGTGACCTGCGGGTATTGGGCCATCCCTAGCTGACGCCGGGACACCCGGGAAGCCGAGGAACGGTGAGTGGACTGCGCCTGGCTTCCGGAAGTGGGGAAGAGGGCTGGGTGAAACCTGCTGGAACCAGCCATGGGCTGCGGAACCTGCGGACCGAGTCGCCGGGCGCAGCCGGGCCTCAGTCCCCTTCTGTGCAGGGCCGGGCGGCGCGGGCAGCGGGACCCCTGCGTCCTGTCTGTACCTGCGGGCGCCACTTCCGCCGGCCGGAGCCCTCTCGGGAACCCCGCGCCTCCCCCACCCAGGTAGTGCGGTGACCACGGGAGGGTGATCCGGGAGAGCCCCGACTCGGTGTGCGGGGTTCCAGCGTGGGAGGAGCTGTGGTTCATGGAGCTTCCAGTCCCACCTTTCTCCCCCTAAAATTAACCTGAGGCTTTGTTAAAACGTTAAACGGCGTGTTTGAGCAAACGCGATTCATAAACGGGTACCGCAGTCATGGTTTGTGGTTTGGGGTCCACGGGAGGGGCGTAAATGAGAGGCTTTGATAAGGTGAATGAGGAAGCAAACCATACATATATATACACACACACATATATATACATATATACACACACACATATATATATATATATATTTTTTTTTTCTTCTTCTTTTTTTTTGAGACGGAGTCTCACCCTGTCGCCAGGCTGGAGTGCAATGATGCAGTCTCAGCTCACTGCAACCTCTGACTCCTGGGTTCAAGCGATTCTCCTGCCTCAGCCTCCCAAGTAGCTGGGCTTATAGGCGCCACCACCACGTCCAGCTAATTTTTGTATGTTTAGTAGAGACAGGGTTTCGCCATGTTGGCTAGTTTGGTTTCGAACTCCTGACCTTAATTGATCACCCTCCTCGGCCTCCTAAAGCGCCGTGAGGCACCTTGGCCAAAATATTTTTCTGTTTCCAAACATTTTACATGAGAGGAAAGCGGAGAATAAATCATCTGACACTCTACTGTAAAAAAAATCTTTGTACCTCTCTTCTTTTCATCTTTCCTAAGTGTACATATTACCAAAATGTCTTTAGGTTGAGGTCCCCCCGTGAAAACTTGACAGGGTGTTGTGTCCTCAGCCACTCTCCTGTCTTTTCCTAGTCCTGGCATTTTAGAACTGTCTGGGGATGACCCAGGATACCCACTGTGGCCATGTCTATTGGAGGGTCTAGTGAGTATCAGCCCCCGGGGTCATCTCATCCCCAAGGACAGCCTGAGGTATGGGGTAGAGTCTCTCAGGGGAGCAGCTGGATGCTCTTGGCCTTAGAGGAATCTCCTGGTATAGTTTCATCTAAAATGGTGACCTCTTAGGGTCATTAAAATTTTAGGACATTAAAATTAATGGACAATACAATGTAATGTCATGAAAGTTAGGTCATTAAAATTATTCCTCCGGCCCGAGTTTTTATTCCTCGAAGACACATTGATGGTTTGCCAATTGGATGCTGATATTGAGAGGAAAAGGCAGAAATGATTTCTGCTCTCTAGCTTGTCTCAGACCTGTGAAGAGAGAAAAACCGTCCCAAAGGACAAGGAAAACCCACCCCAGAGAGGATGTGCAAGAACCTGAATATTAAAATGCACTTAAGGCACACAGGAGGACAAAGAGCAGTGTCAGTGCCTCGTAGGTGGTCATTGAGTACTTTACTGAACAGGATGGGTGTCCTAAGGGATAGAATGGCCTGCCGTGACACTTAGAAAGGTCTGCGTTGGAGTCAGTACTGCCTCTCCCTGAGTTTGTTACCTTGAAAAGGCTTGTCCTCTTATTTGAGTTTCAGGTTTTCACTGACTGTAAGATACATTTTGTCAGTACAGCTTGAAAGATAAAAATACTATTTCCAAAGAGGTAGGGTAAAATGATGTATTTCATTTGCTAAAAATTCGTATTTATTTCTTCCCCAGAGTGAGTGTAGTAAGTTTTAAAGTTCTGTTCTTTTTAAGGGTAATTTCAAATGGAATTGTAGGACTTAGCTTTGTAAATGCTACTGGTGAAATAAAAGTGTGTTAGATAAATTGATGATTTATAAAGATTCACCAAAATGTCAGTTCCCCTCTTATAGCTTGGTGAAGAATTTATGACAGTGGACACATGTGTATCCTCTTATCTGGGTGTCTGAGTGTTGTTTTTTGTTTTTTGGAGATGCTGTCTTGCTCTGTAGCCTGGCTAGAGTGCAGTGGCGCCATCTCTGCTTACTGCAACCTCCGCCTCCCGAGTTCAAGTGATTCTCCTGTGTCAGCCTCCCGAGGAACTGGGATTATAGGCACCCACCACCACACCCAGCTAATTTTCATATTTTTAGTAAACACAGGGTTTTAGGCCTGGCACGGTGGCTTATGCCTGTAATCCCAGTCCTTTGGGAGGCCAAGGTGGTTGTATCACGAGGTCAGGAGTTCCAGAGCAGCCTGGCCAACATGGTGAAACCCTGTCTCTACTAAAAATACGAAAAAATTAGCTGAGCGTGGTGGCAGGCACCTGTAATCCCAGCTACTCGGGAGGCTGAGGCAAGAGAATTGCTTGAACCCAGGAGATGGAGGTTGCAGTGAGCCAAGATCTTGCCACTGCACCCCAGCCCAAGGGACAATGCGAGACTCCGTCTGAAAAACAAATAAACAAACAACAAAAAGACGGGATTTTTGCCATGTTGGCCAGACTGGTCTCAACCTCCTAACCTCAGGTGATCCCCTGCCTCAGCCTCCCAAGGTGCTGGGATTACAGGCGTGAGCCACGACGCCTGGCCCACTCTATTTTCCTTTTATCCCCTAAATTTTAATATGTTTGAGTTTGTCTGTTCCTTTATCACTTTTTTCTTACATAAAAAAAATTCTGCCTAATCCTTCATTAAAAAAAAAATCTTCCTGTGACTTCTGAAAGTATTCTGGTTTTATCTTTTGTATTTGAATATATAATAAGATGATTATTGTTCATGGAATAGAGAAGAATGCAATGCATTTTCCCAAGTAGATGCCAGCCTGGTTTGCCTCATATTTTAAAGTGCATGTAATTTCTTTTTCTATTCTATAGTGCCTACTCTATCATTCCTCAACTTTCCATATAGATGCTGGGTCATTAAGACTTTTTTTTTCCTTTGGTCTGCTTGCTCATCTCTTTGCTAACACTGTGCTGTCCTGAATATTTTTGCTTGAAAATCTTAGAAGTATGTTAGACAAGCCATCACTCTTTTTTTAGATGACTAAAAATGATTAGACATTGGTCATTTTTACTGCATATGAAAGAGTAGCTTTTCTTGCCTAAAACCACCTGATTTGGGAATTTATGTGGTTTCATAGGAATAGCATCTGGAAGTGGTGACATTAATGTCATTTTAAAAAGCATGTGTCCTATTTCCTCTTATTCCTTTCTGCCTTGATATTGTGCAATAGAAATTTGAAAAATTGTTGTATTAGTATTGTTAAATATCAATTATTGGTTTTATTTACTACTCAATTAAATTTAATAAGCCTATTCTCTCTTGGTGTAATCACGTGGAATGGGTTCACTTCCACAGTTAACAAGTGACAGCACATGTAAAATATTGTCTACCAGGGAAATTCATTGAACACTTAGTGTTCAGACTGTGTTTTTGTGTCTGGTTCCCTAAGCACCACTGCAGTGACACAAAATAATAGACTTTCAGCAGAAGAAGTTTTGGAAAATATACTGCATAAGCCATTTAGATGCAGTGAGTCATTCTTATTACTTGGGTTGGTGGAATCCCTCTCAAAATGTAAGTTCCTAATACAAACAAAGATTGAACTTTGCGAGCAGGTATTTTTAAGAATAAGTAGTCTCAGGACTGATAATATTAACTCACTTATGCACATCAGGTAGGACTTTAGTATGACAGGTACTAGAAATGTACAAAGTGAAGTTAAAAGGTAACTCCTAGCAGCATATCGTAATCTCACTCCCTGGATTCTCTAATGAGATGGGTGTTTCTACTTTGCTGTTGCCTTTTTGAATAGTTCAATTCTAGCATTAGTACTGCTGTGTGGGAGGGAGTATGTGTGAACAGAGTAAGAGTTGTGACAATCAAGTCATAGAATAAATGCTTGGAAATTTTAGAATCATGTAAACAGCTTATGAATTGAGTATACATTCCCAGTGCTCTCAGTCTCACTCATCCTTCTATCCACATATGTGGAATGTTTTAGGACTCCATGGCTTTTGAGGATGTGGCTGTGAACTTTACCCAGCAGGAATGGGCTTTGCTAGATTCTTCTCAGAAGAATCTCTACAGAGAAGTGATGCAGGAAACCTGCAGGAACCTGGCTTCTGTAGCTAAGAATGACAACACATTTCACTTAATTACAGAAGTATTTCCCTATCATCAGTGCTATTTGTGATTTGGAATGGGGCAAGGGAATGATTTGGTGAATAAATCAGGCATGGGCACTGTGTACAATGAACATGAAATCTAGTAATGTTTCTATAGTTTGAAATAATTCATGATAATTTTGTGCATCTGCATTTTAGGAAAAAACGGAAAGACCAGAATATTGAAGATCACTTCAAAAAACGGGAAAGATAGAAGATAATTTGCACCGAGAAGAGGAAATAAAGTCCTCTGAAGGAATCTTAGCATGTCATGAATTTAAAAACAAGCAATCAAAGCAAATAAGAGTCACTTGAAATTCATTTCCTTTTAGAAAAATTTCACCCAAAATGTAACATACATCAGTGTAGCAGTCAGTGTTTGGAAAACAGTTTACTTGAAAATAGTACTACAAAATTGTATATATGAATGTTACTATTTTGGTCATAGCCATGTAGGTGGTAGCTGTGTTTTCAGTAGTAGCCCATTTACTTTCAAATAATTCAGTCATGGCACAAAAACAAAAACAAAACAAAACAAAAATGCATTTTCCCTAGTATTGGTAGCAGTGTAAGTCGAAGACCTATGAATGAGTAGAAAGTTATTAAACCAACCAATAGTAATGTGCTTGTCATTTTTTTTACAGAAATCATATGGTACAGAGACTGTGTGAAAGCAAAGAAGGTAGTCAGTATGGACAAGCTGTCAGCCACATTCCAAATCTTGATCTGAATGAGAACATTTCTACTGGATTAAAACAATGTGAATGCAGTATTTGTGGAAAAGTCTTTGTACATCATTCCCTCCTTAATAGGCACATCCTAGCTCACTCAGGATACAAACCATATGGAGAGAAGCAATATAAATGTGAACAGTGTGGGAAACTCTTTGTTTCTGTTCCAGGTGTTAGAAGACACAGGATAATGCACAGTGGAAATCCAGCTTATAAATGTACGATATGTGGGAAAGCTTTTCATTTTCTCAATTCAGTTGAAAGACATCAGAGAACTCACACAGGAGAAAAACCCTATAAATGTAAACAATGTGGTAAAGCGTTCACTGTTTCCGGTTCTTGTCTAATACATGGACGAACTCACACTGGAGAGAAACCCTACGAATGTAAGGAATGTGGGAAAACACTCAGATTTTCTTGTTTTAAGATGCATGAAAGGACTCACACTGGAGAGAGATGTACCAAATGTGATAAAGCCTTCAGCTGTTCCACTTCCCTTCATGACCATGGAAGCATTCATACTGGAGAGAGACCCTATGAATGTAAACAATGTGGCAAAGCCTTTAGTTGTTTGAGTTCCCTTTGTAACCATAGAAGTACTCATACTGGAGAGAAACCCTATGAATGTAAACAATGTGACCAAGCCTTCAGTCGCCTCAGTTCCCTTCACCTCCACGAAAGAATTCATACTGGAGAAAAACCCTATGAATGTAAGAGATGCGGTAAAGCCTACACTCGTTCCAGTTACCTTATGCGCCACTAAAGAAGTCATGATATAGAGGTTGGGTGTAGTGACTCAGCCTATAATCCCAGCACTTTGGGAGGCCAAGGTGTGTGTATTGCTTGAGCCCAGGAGTTCATAACCAGCCTGGATTAAAACAATGTGAAACAACCTGGGCATCGTGATGAAACCCTGTCTCTACAAAAAATAAAATAAAGCCGGGCCCGGTGGCTCATGCCAGCTACTCGGGAGGCTGAGGCAGGAGAATGGCGTGAACCTGGGAGGCGGAGCTTGCAGTGAGCCGAGATCGCACCACTGCGCTCCAGCTTGGGCGACAGAAGCAGACTCCGTCTCAAAACAAAAACAAAGAAAATAATTAGCTGGGCATGGTGGCACATTTCAGTTGCCTTAGTTCTTTTTCAAGGACATAAAAGGCCACAGGGGCTTGGGGGGAAGCCCTGTGCATGCGGATCACGAGGTCAGGAGATCGAGACCATCCTGGCCAACATGGTGAAACCTCGTCTCTACTAAAAATACAAAAATAGCTGGGTGTGGTAGCATATGCTTGTAATCCCAGCTACTCAGGAGGCTGAGGCAGGAGAATCACTTGAACCCAGGAGGCGGAGGTTGCAGGGAGCTGAGATTGTGCCACTGCACTCCAGCCTGGCGACAGAGTGAGACTCCATCTCAAAAATAAATAAATAAATAAAGCCCCTTGAATGTAAGAAATGTGGTAAAACATTTACTCTTTCCCATTCCCTCATAAACATGAAAGAGCTCACACTGCAGAGAAACCTAAAGAATGTAGGAAATGTGGTCAAGACTTCAGATTTTCCTGAAGATTTGGGAGGGGTCAGAGTGGAGAAAAGGTTTTGAATTTAAATTTATGGTAAGGCCTTCGGTTGTATTAGTTCCATTTGAAGACATCAGCTCATTCCTGAGAAAAACCCTATGAATGTCCAGAATGTTTGAGTGTTTCATTTCTCTCATACCCACTCAAGGACATATGAAAATGCACGCTGTAGCTGGCTGGACCTTGTAAATACAAGAACGTACACAGGATTAAAACTCTAATAGTTTAGAAACTGCAAGAATATTTTCAGTTTTAACATTTACTTGAAAAGCCGTGTGAAAACTCCCACGGGAAAGAAGTTCTATAAGTGAAGCTTTTCTAATTTGGAAAGCCTGATGCAAATTAATTATCGTGCAGTGCTTGAAAAAAATCTATGAAATGTTACACAAGTTACAAGTATATTGTTTTTATCAGTGGCCCATTCTTAAAGAGTCTTGAGTATGCATTTCACCTTATTTTGCAGGGAAACCTTGAGGTGAGAGTTCTGTAAATGTTCTTTAAGCAGTAGTACTTGAATTTCATAGATGATATTTTCTTCAGTTTTGTTGGTAGAATTTTTGTCTATTCATTTGATAATGTGCTGGATTCATGGTTGAATTTGGATGTTTTTCTAATATGTAGGTAAGTTTAATTTTTTTATTTCATTATTATTTCTTTTTGAGATGGAGCCTCACTCTGTTGCCCAGGCTAGAGTGCAGTGGTTCGATCTCGGCTCACTGCAACCTCCGCCCCCTGGGTTTAAGCGATTCTCCTGCCTTAGCCTTCCGAGTAGCTGGGACTACAGGTGAACGCCACTACATCCAGCTAATTCTTTGTATTTTTAGTAGAGACAGGGTTTCACCATGTTGGCTAGGCTGGTCTTGAACTCCTGACCTCATGATTTGCCCGCCTCGGCCTCCCAAAGTGCTGGGATTACAGGCATGAGCCACTGCGCCCGGTCAGGTAAGTTTCATTTGTATGTATTGTCCTGTGATTAATGGACCAGTGAATAATGATTGTGAATTCTTGGGATTGTCTTACTAGCCTCATTTGGCAAATTTTGATTATCCCTTGTCCATTATACACATCCCACCTATTTTTATTAAATGAAAAACTACTCTTGATGTAAAGATATTTTTTGCTAATAATGAGTTGGTATTAATTCCTAAGTACATACAGTTTACCCAGGAGACGGAGCTTGCAGTGCGCCGAGATCACACCACCGCATTCCAGCAAGGGTGACAGAGCGAGATTCTGTGTCAAAAAAAAAAAAAAAAAAAAAAGGAATATCCTCACTTTTTAAATGCTATACCACTCTCTGCGCTCAAGTTAATCCCTGTTTGGGCCTGTGAGAGCTTACACCATCCTCCTGTATGTAATTAATAACTGATATCTGGCTTATCTGTTTAGTAATAGATGTTATATGTTTAACGGTGCCAGTAAACGTAGGGTGCTAATTCCTTCCTCACCAGTGGGGTGCATGAGACGCTATTGAAACAATTGGCAACACGAATGGAATGGACCAGCCCTCATGCAGGACACCAGCTCAACTTGACCTACCTGCTGTGGGCTGACTGTTCCGTAACACATCAGCAGTCACCTGGGTCAGAACCGTGAGCTGACGATGGGCGTTCCCTTTGGTCTGCACAGTGTTTTGTGGTCTTCAGGTGTTGTCATCTTCTTCCACACTAAAATGCTCTCATCTCCTAGACATCAATGTTTAACTGCACCCCAGCATGACCTTTGGCCTGTGCTTAGCAGGCAGTTTTGAGGCCCTGGCTTATGAATGCACAAAAGCACAGCACGTAAGCCAACACATAAGTCCTAATTAGCAAGAATCAGGCTGTATGTCTGTAGTCCCTGCATCTGCTCTGGTCACCATCTCTGTGTGCTTAGGGCAGCCATGTGAACATTATTAATTATTTTACACTCCAAGACAATAGTTATTATGTAAGCAGAAGTAGTGGCCTTGTTTGTTTCTTGTGCTGCTGCTCCCCTTGCTGCTGTACCATACACCCTCCTGATGAGGTGTACATCTATGGTGCCTCATGGTTCAGGCACTGCTGAGTAAAGAAAATGGGAAGAAATAGTTTGATATTAGCCCCTACCGAAGCATATGAAGAAGCGTCTCAGCTGCTTTCATTGAAAAATTCCTGACCAGTGTGTGGGCTTTTCTTATCACTGCTGCTTATCAGCATGTCAAAAGTCTCATCTTCGGACTGCAAGTCTTGACGGCCTTAGTTATAGTGGCCTTACTGCATGTGGAGCTAACCCCAGGAAGATGGAGTGACACTCTCTGGAGGATTAGGTGGTCTCCTCCAATGTGGGTTGATGGGCTTCTGAACTCTTTCCTTTAACCATGCAGAGAGTCTACACTGCCAGTGATCATGTGCCACAACTCTATAGATGTAGAAATTCAAAATATTCTGAAATAGTTTCCATTGAAAGGAAATAGAAAAGCGGTCTGGTGCCACGCTCCGGTTAAGAGAACTAGTAGATGGCTCACAAGAACACTCTGTCGCTACTGTCTGTGCCTCTGTCACAGCAAATATCCTGATCCTTCAGTTTTAAGGGTGCAGGGCCATTTTCTTCCCTTTCTTACTGGTAGTTCTCAAGATAACTGTATGGTATGCTGGGAAGGCAATATCCTGATAATCAAGTGACATTGGTCAGAACAGCCCAGCCTCTGTTATAGGCCCTGCTCGAAACGGAATTGCCTTTAACGCTTGTGTCCAGCAAACCACATCCTGGGAGAAAACCCAATGTGGGCTTATTTCTGGGGTCCCTCAGTTGTAGTGCAAGTGAAGCATTTATAGTCAAAACTCCATCCATCTGCTCTGGGTAGCCTTCCTGATCTTGTGGTAGTGGTTCATATTGAATCCTAGACTTCTGTTGTCTTTTGTTTGCTATTTGTAAGTAATAAATTCACTTCATGGAATTTATCTATGAATGTATTTGGCCTCATTGTACTCAGAAAAGTTGGTAGCCATTGCACAGTGAACCCGCTTCATAATTGGTGAAAACACCTATGGCCCCCTTGTGCCACAGCAAGGAGGTTCATTCAGCCAAACATAAACTTCACGTTTATAAAACCCTATAGCACAATTATTACCATGTGGGAGGCCTTTAACAATGGTGATGCTGATTTGAAAAACTCTGAAGGAAGAAATTTACCCAAATGGGTTGGGTACATGGGAGTTCCTCCTAATTCCAAGAAACCCTTACTCCCCTCCACCTAAAAAGAGTGGAGAGGCCGGGTGCGGTGGCTCAGGCCTGTAATCCGAGCACTTTGGGAGGCCGAGGTGGGCAGATCACAAGGTCAGGGGTTCAAGACCAGCCTGACTAACATGGGGAAGGGCCATCTCTACTAAAAATACAAAAATTAGCTGGGCGTGGTGGCAGGCACCTGTAATCCCAGCTACTCGGGAGGCTGAGGCAGGAGAATCGCTTGAACCTGGGAGGCGGAGGTTACAGTGAGTCGAGACAATGCCACTGCACTCCAGCCTAGGTGACAGGGCAAGACTCCGTCTCGGGGGGGGAAAAAAGTGGATAAGAACTGAAACAGGTTAAAAATTTCAACTAATTGGAAATGCAAGTTTACAAAAATAATATTTAAAATAAAAGGTTAAATGAGTGCTCATTGAATTTTATGCCTCCACAAAATAGGTTGTGAGTTAACTTCCACATTTATTGAAAGCCACCAAAGTTGGGAAGCCTCCGTGTCTGAAATTCACAGGTGGCTCAAATAAGAATTATACCTCGGGATACCCCAAAGTTTAAATATGGTATCCCCTATGATATTATGAGGAATTACTGTACATAAATCAGGTTGTCTTCCTTTAACTCTGAAAATCATATTATCTTGCCTAAATTCTCCATAACGCATTGCTCCGCAGTATCCTATAATGGACATGGCTTTTCTGACCAATGAGCACTAAAATTAAGTGTGTGAGACTCACCTATGTTCTTATCAAAATGGAAATCCCTGAATCCCACCAGTTAGAATAACATGACAGAATGTCAGATTTATGGAATATATAAGTTTTCTGTAAGGTTATTAGGTATTGATTCCATTTTATTAATAGATATCAATATATATAGATTACCTATTTCTCCTGTGTTTTAGTATTAATAGATTGTGTCTTTTAATTCATCCAGTTGGTCTAAGTTACCAAGTTTGTGGGTTATGGAGATTGTAATATTCTTTATGATTTTATCATCCATGGGCTCTCTAATATAAAGGCTTCTTTTAATTCTTAAAGTATTAGGTTGGTGCAAAAGTAATTATGGTTTTGGACCATGAATTTTAAATTTGTATAACTAGGCTGCAACACA